ATTAAGATCTAAAGTTTTGTTTAATCTAAAAGACTCTATTACTTACTTACTGAATTTACTATTTAATTTTTTTAATTGATAATTGTAGTAAATAAATATATCAATGAGATAATAATGCTCAGTTGTCACAAATTCTTTATGTCAATAAAATCTAAGTATATCATAGTAAAAACCACTTATATAATAAATGTCAATAACTTGATTATTACAAAAAAAGTAATTTTTTTAGAAGAACATATTTTAACTATAACATCTTAACTTTTGAATAAGTGATTTTATAATAGATATCAAGCACATAGCATTCAATATATTTTAAAATTTTTGTTACATTGCTTGACAAAGTTTGTTAGTAATAATTTTCATAATTTTTTCATCAAATATAAAATTAGAACAAAATCAAATAACATCAATGCTTTAAGAGCAACTGTAACATTATTTTATTGAAAATAAGTAAATCATATGACAACTATATCTTCAAGCTAATGAAAAAATTGAATTATACATGTCTAAAAGACTATTAAAGAATTGAAATAAGAATTCTATCCCATATCTCAAAGCTTCTATAATGTATCAACTTAATTAGGAGGCTGAAAATATATAATCCCTACATTTTACTAAAAAAAATTAAAGAGTTGGGGGGATCGTGGCCCCTGCTAATCCCCCTTGTCTCCACTCCTGGTTCTAACTCAATCCATTAACTCTAATTTAGTACAACTGACATTGTATAATTTGATCCATTATAATTTAGTTCCTAAACTTTAGCTCAATGCAATTCAGTTCCTATAATTTTAGTCATTTAAAACATTAGTTTCTAAGTTTTAATAATAATTTTATTCTTTATAATTTTATTTTCTAAAAATGTAGGGGACCAACATTTTAAATAGATAAAACTATAAAATCTAAATTGTAAGAGTCATAATTTAAGAACTAAATTTTAACCGAATTAAAACTATAGATTATGTCATTTTGATTATATACATATATATATATATATATATAACCCATATTATTTGTTAAATGTTGTCCTGGTAATGCATGGATTATAATCAATCAAGCGCAAATAAATTTCTTCATCAAAGATGTTCACGCAAGAGCACCACAAAGAATGCTCTACTAGGATTTCGACCCTCCCCTCAAGAAATTAATGCATGGGTTATAAATTTCTTTTTGATATAGCCAGTTATCTAGAATTGGATACAACTAGATCAAATTTAAATATTGTTTAACTTAATTGAGGGTAATTATTCCAATGTGATTTTTTTTCTATCCACAAAGCTTGGACTCTTGATCTTATGTAAGAAGAATCGAATTGAGCTAATGACAATTGAAGATCTTGTAAACAAATTAATATAAAATAATCAAGACTTTCAAGTTTTAAATCTACAAATTTGAGTTGTAAATTTAAAAGTTATAGTTGTAAGCATGTATTGATTATCATTCTCCCAAATGAATTTAAATTCTTCTACTCAACCCAACCGCCATTGGTGATGGGTTAGAATTTCTAGTTTGTTGATATAAATGAGATGGTGCAACCTGAACTGTATAAAACTAATATCAGTATATATGTGTTATGCAAAAAAAATGCACAGATTTTTTAACGTGAAACCCAAATATTTTCAGTGGGTTTAATTGTTAAGCAAAGTTTACTTGGCCCATCCATGTGTTTGTGTTGTTAGTCCATACCAAGTTTTAGTAAGTATTTTGAGAATATGATATCATCATATGAAAATGTTTATAATATTTAGATTGCCTAAGCTAGTATTCTCTCTAATCATATTTATAAGTCACTTTTAATATTTTTACTAAAACAAAAAAAAAACCTTAAATCTTATTAACATTATCTAAAAATTTAACAAGTTTTTAATTTTACCCGTATTAAATATATATAATTTATAAATCAAATACTCTAACATTAATAACATTCTCAATATTTAATAAGGGCAGAAGGATAAAGATAAATAAAATAATCATTAAAGTGCCTAATAAATATGATTAAAATAAAAAAAATTAACTTTATAAATAAGATTAGAGAAGTATGTAGTGTTCTTTTATAGAAGACTAATAGGATTTCCTTTTTCATCCCAAGTTCAAAACAAAATTGTTGACCAGTTACATATTGTAAAACTAACTTTTCATTCATAGGCCCAAGATCTCATTCTTTGTTTCATTTTAACTATTAGTCGATGAAATGTTTATTATTGGTCTTAATATATCTATTCAACCCAGCATCGTTAGCCCAAAAACAAATTGAACCCAGCACAAAAATGGCCTATATAATCAGCCTATATTATTAGTGTTGCCTAAGCTTTGGGGAAGAGGAAATGAGCCCAATAATGGGCCCAATAAAATTGTAGTCCAACTCTTTAGGCGAAATAAAAAGAAATTAATCCTACAGCCAAACAGAAAACACGATTTAAGTTTTGTAAATCGTGGAAGCTCACTTATTTATAATAATTCACAAAGGTCATCTCTCAGTTTGGCCAAAAAATAAAAAAATAAAGGTCATCTCTCAGACAATGCATTTAAAATTAAGAAATAATGAAACTTATAATCCCTTAAATTTTGTTTAGTTATTATTTAATTCCTTAAATTTTATTTTCATCAATTTAATCACTTATAATTTTTTTAATTATTATGTGAGTCCTTTAAGTTTTAGAACACAAATTGATTCTCAAAATAATTTCATGTGTAAAGTAGATGATTTGACATATATATATATATAGTTAAATGAGAATAAGTTAACCTTCAAATTGGTTTAATTTTTTTCAATATAATCTATTATAATGTGTTTTATTCTCTTGTTTTTTAAATTTTAGGGTTTTTTTCCTACCTAAATAATTATATTTATTTTCATTAATCTATATAGCTTCCATTAATATATTATCTATGTCAACAAATTTTAATAGTGTAACATCTTTTTTAAACAATAAAAATTAAATTGATAACATAAATAAATTTAAGGGACTAAATTAATAAAAATTAAACTTGAGGAACCAAATCGATAATTAAGACAAACATAAGAGACTGAAAGTTGCATTATCATTAAAATTAATTAAAGGGAGTTACAATAGCTTAATGAGGGGTCGTGATACTTAATGAGATTAATGAAGTTATAATGAAGGAAGTTCTGAGGACTAAAAGAACTTATTAAGAATTTATGGAAGCTACAAGCAATTAGTATAGTTTATGCATATGAGAATTATGGAGATAGTGCAATTATGGAATTGTGGAGTTATGGAGATGGAACATTCAATTTTGTTTCATTGTTCAATTACTTAAAAAAAAACTTTGTTCTTTTTTGTAATTTTAAAAAAACCATTATCCTTTACAATAATTAACTTCCTTCCATGATCGACGTGTCTCCAGTAGTCTCCTGGTGGCCGCAAATTAAAGTACTAATATACCCTTTAAAATGCAAGACACATTATGGCAAATGAATAAACGAGATTGGTTTTGTGGGACCTTAAGAACCAAACTCAACATGATCATTTCTTGTGGGATGCCTTTACGACTACCATTTGGCACTTTTGGAAGCATAGTAATAATCACATTTTTAATGATATAGCTCCCAGCACGGTTGAGCTAGTCCAGCGTGTCATTCATTTGGCTAACACTATTCTTAAAAGTTTTACTATAAGTGAAGATAGTGGCACGTTACTAATTCGAGGAATGGCTAAGTGGGAACCTCCACCTTATGGGGTGAAGTTGAAATGTTGATGGATAGGCGAAAGGTCACCTTGATCGAGTTGATAGTGGAGGCTGGCTTTGTAATGTTGCAGGAGAATGGCTGGCAGGTTTCATGTGTGACCTGAGACGATTCCTATAGAAGCTGAACTGTTAAGTGCGTATCATGATCTCGTAGTTGTGAAACTCAAGAAGCTTGTAGGGGAAAGTGATTTGATGAGCATTTGCAAACATATGCAGAATCGTTCCAATTCAGGTCAAATTGAGTTTTGGCGACTAAAGCATGGTGTGGAGCTTGTTGATGGTGATTTCAAGGTTTTGGTCAAGCATATGTTCAGGGAGAGCAATTGCTATGCTGAATGGTTTGCTAAGTACAATATAAACCAAACAAATAATTACTTATTTATGGAGGTACTTAGTAATGAGCTAATTTCTTTAATGGTTTGAAATATGTTTGGAGCTTCTTATGCCCCACATCGAAAGAACTTGAGAAAGGTCCTAAGTAGATAAGTAGGCGTGTTACACACCCCATTGAGCTAATTTTTAGGAGTAATGGTCCCATAACAAAATAATATCAAAGACGAATCCAAGTTTGCCCAATCCAGGACTATCCGTGATAGATGCGTCACGAATTGTTCGAAACAATTGTCATGTCTCACACATCATATAGGTTAGGAAAAGTTCCTAAATATATAAATGGATGCGTTGGACACCTCATTGAGTCAATCTTTTGTGGAGAGAATAATGACTCTGTAACATGCTACTCTTTATTTCAGTGTTATTATGACTTGTTTTGTTTGGACTCAGCCCCCTTTATTTACCCAAAAAAATACTGCTATACACAGATTGTCTCATGGTCTCTCGCATGATGGTAAAGGAGACATGGATCAAGAGAATATCTGAATGCCTAATTCTACCTCCTCACTCATTCACAGCAGAGAGGAATCCAAATCTGTAAGCTTTAGTAAATTTTTATCCTTTTTCATTGAAATAACTGTTAACATCATCCATCACACTCCCTAAAAATCAACTCCCAAACCATAGTTATTTCACCCAAGTAACTCTCCCCCTTGGTCTCCAGGTTCAATTCTACTAAGGGAAAAAAACATTGAAATAAAGTCCAACATATTGCATACATAAGAACCCAAAATGAAGAAGAAAATGCATTAAACATCTTTATAAATTGCCAGATCTATATATTGACAATTAGGAGCATTACAAGGGGAAGTCATTGTTTTATACAGATACACAACATCAGCACCAAAACAAAGATCTAAAAATTAAAGGATAATAAACTATAGACAAAATATATGTAATTTCACATATCTCTCTCAACAAGTTTTTCCATAAAAATATGACAAGTATATAAATTTTCAATAATTATGTAACAATTGCAAAGGTTTTCTGAACAAGTTTCTTACAATTAGATATTGTATTAAAAATGTATACAGTTGTCATATTCTAATCGAAAACCTAGTAACAAAGATATGGAGAATCATGCCTAATAACAGTCCCAAGAACAGTTCACAAAAAATTCAAAACCATCATTGTCATACGTTTACTGATCATCCAAACAGGTTAATACTACCGAAAGGCCTTCATGGGGTCATTAGGATCAATATCAGATATCAATGGAAGATCTACAGGCAAAGCTTCTACACTCAACCCGTCATCTCTGAGCTTCCTGATTACTTCCTCAAAAACAACTTGGTTGCCACTTTGGGTGAGATGCAAACCATCACTGCATTTCAAGTTTACAGAAGAGAAACACATCAATTTTATTTTTGGTCTCAAAATAAAATGAAATTGGAAAGGTGAAACCAGAACCCACCTCCTTGTGTTTGTGTTTATTTCTCTGCAACTTCTCTTTCAACTTCATAAGATTCATATTCAAATGGGGAATGACACTTAAGTCCCAAAACTAACTTATTGACAGTTAAGCCTCCAAAAATTTTGCTTGAAAATGATTTACGAATATCCATCCAAACAGTTGCGAGTATGAAAATTTCATACGCAAATCAAGCAAATAAATCTTATAGGTTATTGTTGCAACTTAAGTTATCATATTTACAACAATCTGAACCGATATTTGCAACTAATCTTTTAACAAACTTTGTTGGGACCTAACTATCAGTAAATTGATCTTTTAGAACTTGAAGTATTATTCAAACCCCTAGTTAAAATTACTTTCAAAAATTTATAATCAGCACGTTATTACCAATGATTTTTCAGATTCTAAAATCTATGAAGTTCACTTAATCATTGACCAACAGCATTTAAATAGTGCCAGTCCAAGAAAAGTAACCTTCTGCATTCTTCAAACCACACTCAGTTTCATCAGTTAAATTTTCAGCCTGCAAATTTTTTTAATTTTATGTAAAAATAGTTAAATGCATTGTCTGTTAAAGGATAGACAAGGACCCCTCGCAAATTGCAATATCAAATAGGATCCAATTAGAACGAGCAAGAGAGACCTAAGATTGTTGCCTAGTAGGACACACGAGCGTATAGACCAAAAAGAAAGAGTAGGACACACGTGTGTGGGCCCCACATCATCTCTCTTTGTCTAGTAAATGCCCCTGCAATTAAAGGACGGGACAGGATAAGGGACGGTCAAAATCATACACATCAGATCTCACTTTCACCTATATCTAGAGGATAATTTGGATTCCATGCTCATCTTTTAATCTTTACCGTATCTAGCCTAAGATTGTTCAGATTTTATTTTATTCTCAATTTTTAATATTTCTTATTTTAACAGATGTTAAATAAAGATAACTACTGCTAATCTGCCAAATTTAAAAATGAAAACCTTTGAATGTGGACTGCCAAATTTAATTAATGCATCTCATGGATGAGCAAATCCTTGATCTGAGCTCTCAATCAGGAAGCATCCAGATTTAGACCACTCAAAATCAACTAAATACTCAAATTTTGCTAAAAATGCCATTTGTTTTCTGTCTGAAATTGAGAGGATCCTTAGTTGAGGAATAGTCACCGATTATCAGCCACTATTTTTTACAGTATTTTCTCATCTTTTAATTTCAACCAAACGATGCCCGAAAAAGAACTCACATCACTAAACATAGTCTTCCAAATGCATTTTAGCCATTTATTTTATCTAAACATATATCTAAATTTAAATATACAAGTCAGTAGTAAAACCTCAAAGGATATAATATTTCAAACTCAGAACAACTCAATTCGTAGAAAATATAGACACTAGCATAGACAACATGGCATGATGAAACTTTTAAGTATTCATCTATAATTTTAGAAATCGTGCCATGTATGAAGAAATTGTCAAACATGAGCACTGCTTATTTTTGAAATTTTCCATACTTCACAGATCCATAGTCATTATTATTAACTAACTTCGAGGAAAAATGGATTTGGATATTCTAAAGCAGTTTACAAGATACAATTGAAAAGATGCATACAAAGAGGAGTGGGATACCCATCATCCAGATGGGACCACCAGAGTGGACCACATTCCCTTCCCCACGTCTGTGTCTAACCCTCCGACTTGACACTTTCAAATTTCTTTTCAAACTTTAGATGATCCAAAATCCAAAGCAAAATCATCAAACAGAGACAACCTCACATGTTTACTGGGACTATCATCTAAAGCAGTAACATGATGTTCTACAAACAAAGAATGACCATGTGATATAAAAAAGTATATATAAAAAGATTAAGAACCTTAAATATTCTTTTTTCCACTCAGGGCAGTGCTGCATTTTGGTCCAGAGGTCAATGACAGGTACTCCACATTCTCCAGCAATAGCAGCGCATGCTCTGGCATATTCACCAGCAGCTTCATTTGTCCTCTCCGGAAGGCCCTGCTTATTCTCCACGTAAGGATATCTGCAGTATGGGATTTTAGAAAACCTTCCACCATAAGTAACCACTGTTTTACCCATAAACATCATACATGAAGAGAAATTTGGCAATATCAGTGAGGGAGATTAAAGGGACCAATGAACCACACCTTAAGCGTGCATCTTCATCAATTGGAGGAGGTGTTATTAGAAGCACATGAGTATTAGGCCATCGCTTCTGCAATGCAAAAATAAAGCTGTCAAAATTAATTCTCAGCATCTGTATATTGGAAAGTGAAAAGTATTAGAGAACAAGCATCCATTAAATTTTGTTTGAACTGATTCTACAAAACTAAGATATAGTAGACTTGAGATGGAGACTCTGAATCATGAGCTTAAGATTGGTTAAAATTGCAAATTAAAACAACAATTAGGATCCTTTGAGCCAGCCAGATATTTGAAACAGAACAGAGGAATGTTCGATACAAAACACAAAAGCCAAGCTTGTTCTCTCGAGATAACAGGCAAAGTACCTTGACCACTACCAAAATATCCACCTTAGCTTAGAAGCTAACTTGTCAAAACTAAGATCCAGAGATCATTAGGAACACGTAGATAAGTTGAAGTAGACCAGAGTCTTTTGCATCAACAGTCATCAAATATCATCTCAAAACAACACAAGTTCATTAATTGAAAATCAAGAAGTATTTTCATCCAAGAACTTCATTTGTTTAAACTCATTCAATTTTCATTTTATTCTCCATCACTAATTACTTCTGTAGGAGAACATAATCCACATTCATGTACTTCACATCAAAACAAGATAAGCCAACAGAAGAGTCAGGATTTGTTGTGCCTGTGGACATTCAAAAGAGTAAATTAGCTCATCTAAATCAATTCATTGTAAAAGAAAAATGACAATTTGTGGGATATACACTCCATATTCACGTGTATAATCTCCTTTTACCCTATCTCTATGTGAATACTTTATATACTCAAAAAAATGAATGTAGAGATCCACATTCCCAAAAAGGTCAATAGCCCCCCTCAAAAGGCCACAAGATTATAATAATGACGCAGAAGATATACCTAACTAGCCATCTGTAGTTGAACATATGGTCCCTCTAAGAAGAGGGCCTTTACACAAAAATAGTTGGTGGGGATTCAAGCGTGCAATATAAAGCATGGGATCAGACTACTTTTCCCAAGGTATCATGGTTACCGTAGACCCACCAACACAAACACTTAAAGGCCACAACCACTGCATGCTCAAGGAATCATTATCTAATGGGGCCCACTTCAAAGCTCCCACGACCATTTTTGACCAACCGAGCAAAGAAACAGAAACCATACAATACCCAACCCCACTAAGTCACAAATGATTAGTCCTTTTCAGATTTGCACTCTCTTGATTAGAAAATTAAGCCGCTCAGTTGTCTAAAAAAATTGATAGCCAAATCCAGCAAAGGGAGTTAAGCAAGCAGCGAAGGATCTAGGCTAAGATTTTCTTTCCTTCTTTTATTCTTTGTATTTTTTTTTTTTTCGTGGGGAGGCGAGGGGGACAAACCAGTAAACAATAGACCATTAATAATTCATTAGATAGATGTATTACCACGTGAATTTTAACAATTGGACCATTTACTTTAGCAGGTGGCATGGTGGAGGGTGATTTACTGAATAACCACGTTCATACCAAACTATACTTTATTACCAAATTAATCTCAGGGAAGTAATTTTCAGTATAAAGTTAGAAAAAACAAAAAAAGAGAAATAGACACAAATAGACTTGGATCCACTTCATTGAAAGAGAGTGAAGAGAGAAATAGAGAGAGGTGTGAGAGCCAACTGTTATTGTAGAGCCTACCTTCTCTATTTCTCTTCTTATTGTCCCCTTAAAGCACAGGATGAGATCTATGGCAGTGTCTTAAAAATTGAATCAGACATCCAACAAGAGAAGTTATCTAATTACAGGTTGACAGGATGAGGTAATAAGTATAAAAACAGATTAGTAAATTAACCGTAACATATATCTATATATATAGCATAGACATATTACGAAAATCATGTCTAAACTTCAAATTTAGGACTTTTAATTAATAAAAAGCAAAGTGCAACCCAAGTAAAGGCTAGGAAATAATTAGGTCACCCGAATGCAGGGTCCAAACTTCGAAACTGCAGCCGAATGCTTCGAAAAGCCACTAGGAAAACCCAATGGAATCATACCAACCTCTCGTTCTGTTTCCCTAACAAACTTTCAGCTTTAAAGATTCTTAGGGATCCAAATTCATCTTTTAGCAAAGTTGCACTACATTACAATCTAGAATTAGTGTTGCTGATGATAAGTATGCCATCATCTTCAACACCGAAGGGCCAAAACCTCTGTGTCATTTAACAAAAGCTGACCGTTCCAGTTTCAACAGCTTCCAACTTTCTTATCCTAAGCATTTAAGTATGAACGCTGGACTGAGAGAGGAGGGATACCTTGAAGAAGGAGACAATCGAATGAAGGTTGTGCTTATATTCTTGGAGAGGCACGTGCTGAAACGCAGAGCATCTATCTGGAAGACTAGCATCATTGGCCCCAAAGAAAACCGTCACAGCAATTGGTCCTCTTTCGCTATGAATTCCATTCCCACCATCACCGTCTTGTTTCGCAGGGAAGACACTGTCCAAGACCTTCAGCCCCCATCTCGTATTATACCCACTGTACCCTCTTAGCACCACATCGACCTGATCATTGATCGAAGCCCCAATTGGGGAAAACAAAAAAAGAGCAAAATACACAGCGAAGTTGGCCAAAACCATTACAGCGAAACAGAGAAAAAGACACAAAACAGTCAAATAGTCTGTATTTGACTTTGTTCATACCGTGCGAGCGAAATGGTTGGCAAGAGAAGCACCCCAACCTCCGATGCCAAAGGACTCCTCAGTAATGGAGTCACCGAAAAGATAAATCTTTGGCCTCATCGCCAAGATTTCTTATGTGGGTATTAATTTGAAGCTTGTTTTATGGAACTCTCTAGCTTCTAAATGCAAAACCCCAAGTACAAGTATCGAAGAGATACAGACTCCAGAGTCACAGCTTCTTCTTCTTCTTCTTCTTCTTCTGTGCGGCTACTCAGTTCATCGCTGCATAAATAAAGCTGCTAATCTTTTTCTTTTTTTTTTTTGGGTGGAAAAAGCTGCCATTTTTTAATGCAACCAATTAATTGCACCCCAGAAGGCCCATTGTGATGCAGGTAAACAGAAACAGGTCTTTCTTAGACCCCATCCAGTGATGGTAGCGCAAAGTTTTCAACCTTTTTGTCTTTTTCTTTTTCCGGCCAGAACATTGTTTTCAAGCTTTTTCAGTGCCCCTGTTAAAAGAGACAGTGGTGTGGTGATGGTAGGATGGAAATAGGAATGAGCAAAATCAAATTGAGATTAAAAATTAAATTAATTTGATTTATTTAATTTTTTAGTTCAATTTAATTTTTTTAATAAAAATTTTGATTGATTGATTATATTAAAATTCAAAAATCAAATAAATTGAATTGATCGAATTATTTATATTTTTTTATATTTTAAAAAATGTGAATAAATTTTTATTTAAATGAGTAAGAAATATCTTTCTATCACTTACAGTAATAGTATTTTTTTAGCTTAATGTGATGTTCTAATTTTTTATTTTTATAATTTAGTTTTTAGTGCAATAGTACTGAGTCTTATTAATTTTTTCATAAATTATGGTAAAAAATTGTTATTTTTTTGTTGGGCCTTCAACATTAAGGGAAAAAAATTGAATAGAAAAATATATGAACAATTAAATTTCATAGTATCAAATTAAAGCCCATAAATCGAATAGACCGATCGAATCGAATCATTAAAATTTGATTCAGTTTTAATTCGGTTCGATTATGTATTTTGATTCGATTTGATTTAAATTTTGTATATAATTCGGTTGATCAGTTTTAGAAAAATTAAAACTGAACGATCGAATCGACCGAATGCACCCCTAGATGGAAATAAGTTAAATAGAGTTAGGCTTTAATTAAATTGACTTAAGCTTGCGTGATAAATTAAAATCCTGAATTTAATTTAAAATCTGTATAATTTTTTTTTTTTACAGTTTTAGGTCCCAAGCTTAAATTTACTTAAAACCTGACCTAATTTAAAAATCTATTTAAAAGTTTACTCAAAAATAAGTATTTTAAATAGGTTGGCATTTTAATTTTAAATTTTTCAAATATACTTTATAACTATTATAATATACAACATATAACATATTTATCAATTACAATATATAATAATTAAAAGAACTTACCAACTATAATATAACAATGAAGTAATAATATTAAAATTAACATATAAGTTTAATATGATTGAAAATATAACTACAAATAAAAAAGAATAAATAGTTAAAAATTAAATGGTGAAACTAATGTGTTTGTGCTATACTTCCTCCACTCAAAAATATAAAGCGAATCTCACCTTTAATAAAGTAATTGCTTGTCTTTAAACTAATCATATCTTTTTTTGTTCACCCCTATTTAATAGGTTGTTTCACCCTAAAAGAAATATAAAATGATTTATTCAATAGGGATACTTTAAAAAAATATAATGATTACATTTTAAAAGATTAAAAATATTCTATATTTTTTAATATGCAATCCCTCAAAAAATACCACAATGGAATGAGTATTATATTTTATTCGTATGCGTCTGTGTGTGTGTGTGAATAGCTAGTTTGTTAAGCCCATAAGTCATGCCTTGAAAAAATAAAACTAACCTATTCAATTAAATAAGTTTAATTGAAAACATAAACTTAACTTAAATCAATTAAATAAATAAATTAAATTAGACCTGAAATAAGTTATACTGTATAAGAACATGACCTATTCCTATCCCTATGTGTATGTATCCCTGAAAAATATCCGAGAAAATCAATCAGGTGAATTTATATGTAAAGAAATTAATTTTTCGTTTGCACAAATGTAAAGAAATTAATTTGCTTCATATATTTTTTACTAATATGAATAACTCAGATCCATCACTTCATGTGATGACGCCAAGGGAAATGCATAATAAGATGGTTGGGAAATGATCAGTGGGGGAGCCACGTGTATTCAGGGATGTCCCCCTCAAATGGGAAAAATACTTAAATGAGATATGAATATTTATATTTTACACTCCTTTTTTTATATTTTGCATTTTAAACTCATTTCATATTATTTTTTAATTTAAATTTAAAATTAATTTTTTTAATTCAAAAGCTCAATAAATTTTAGCCCACAATTTCAATATACCTAAATAAAATATTATTTTATAAAAAATTAACATTTATTAAACCTTTAAGAAAATAAGAAAAAAATAATCTGGCACGCATCGTTTGAAATCTCAAATCGAATTTGGAGAAAAAAAATCAGTTGAAAAAGCCTTTTCTGCTATGAAATTTATGAAAAATGGTTGCTCAAATGAATGAGCAAACTATGGATAAATGATTGTCTCATGATTTATATTGAAAAAGAAGTATTTGAAGGCATTGACAATGAGCTGATTATTCAACGATTCCAAAATATGAAATCATATAGAGAAAATTTATAAGGTATATAATTATTAAATAATTTTTTATTATTTTTAAAATTATGAATATGTAAATAATTTTGCCCCTCTTAACTCAAGATCCTGGCTCTGCCACTGGAAATGATGGGTTGTCTACTTGATTCACCACTGCTATATTTAATCTCAATAAATTAAGTTTGGATTTTGTTTAATAGTTATAAAGATGTGTCCAATTGTTGGCCAAACAAAAAGATGTGAACAATTTATGTTATTTATATACATTGCTCAACTTTAAGTTTTTTTTCTTCATAATTAGTATTGTATTTAGTTTTTAATTTGTCAAAAGTTCATTTAATGAAGATTCCTTTGGTAAAAATTAATTTAATAAAAGTCAGTTGTTATAACGAAATTTATTTTTGAATATATTTTTTTAAAAATCAGTTTGATATACTAAAAGTTATTTCGATTATAATAGTAAAATGTATTTTTAAATGTACAATTATAAAAAAGAACATTGATTTATAATAATTTGTAACTTTTGTTATACAAATGTAATATATTAAAAATGTTTATAAAATTATAATAGAATAAAATGTATTAACAAGTTTTTAACTTTACCCCTATTAAATATACATACTTAAAAAAATAAAATATTTTAACATTTAATAACTTTCCCAACATTTAATGAAATAAGAGGGTAAAGATAAATATAATAATTATTGAAATACCCTATAAATAGAACCAAAAAATACTCTCTATCTTATAAATAAAACCAAAGCCTTGTAAATAAGTTGAAAAGGACTTTTAAAAAACTTTTAAATTGTATATTTGAAATTCACTTCCAAGCCAGTTACCAAAATGCTTTTGCAATGTCAATCTGTACCTATTATAATTGTCTAAACAGCATTTGTCACTTGAAAAGTTGAAAAAAGCTCTTGAATAGTGAGAAGTAACAAATCCAAACGGACCCTAAATTTGAACACTTTTGGGTCCGTTTGGATTTCAGTTGGGTATAATAGATTATGAAAATAATTGATTAAGTGATAGATTTTAATCATAATTGATTATGTTATAACGTAATTTGTTTGGATATTATTTTTTTAAAATTGATTTTAACTTAATATATGTTAACAACTTTTTTAAGATTTAAAATTTGAATTTTACTAAGAAAAAAAAAAGAGAAGAGAAGGGAGTTTAATTTTTAAAAAAAAAAAATTGTGCTTTTTATAATTTTTTTGGACCTTTTTATGTAATTTCTCCAGTTTTTTTTTATCAGCGTTTCTGGAAAAGCTTAGAATATTAGCTTTTGAAAAAAATCGATTTTAAGGGTTAGAATCGATTTTTTACTTTTTTAAATGTTTGGCTAATAAACTAAATAATCGATTTTTTTGAAAATAAAATCGATTATAGACATATCCAAACGGACACTTTCTTTCGAACGTTAATTCGCTATGTTTTGAATCACTAGCCTATTTTATATATCCAAGTTAATATTTTTGTTCAGCCTAAAATTATAAAGGGTAGAGCCCAAAATACTAATTTTTTTTAGGAAAAATCACATTCCATGATAATGTTATTTGCACATAAAAATCAATAATAAGTTGTCATTCAAAAAAAATCATATTTTTTCTTTTAATAATAACACATTGTTTATTAATCATTGTTTATGAATAACCTTCTCCCCATGTGCTTGGAACGGGTTTTCCCAATTTTTTATGACAAAATGTAATGATATTTATTTCTACAAGTGTTGAAGTCCAAATAGTATGTTGATGGGGTCCAACAGATCTATGGCCCACGTTCTTTAACTGTAGCCCACATGTTTTTTCCCTAAAGATTCTCGAACAAGAAAAAAAGAGGCATGTTGCCCTTATTTTTTTTCATATGTACATTAATTACTAGTATTATATGAATTTATTAGTCAGTTTTTCCATAGTGTTATTTTTCTTTATTTTTTTAAAACATAATGAGAGAAAATATTTTATCTTTAATTTTCTCACCTCTTCATTTTATCTCATTCTGTCATAATCAATTTGTATATATTATCTGTAGATCTCATTCTGTCATAATCAATTTGTGTATATTGTCTGTAGATATTTATTACGTTGAGATCTGTTATCTATTAAAATTTATTCTATTAAGATTTAAAAAATATTTTGTATTCATTAGACGTGTTAAGATTTTATTAATTATTATTATAATAATCTGTATTTTATAAGCTCTTCATATCAATAAAGGAAGGCATTTTTGGTTTTCTGTCATCTTGAATCATCATCTCTTCCTTCTCAAATAATATGTCAATCAAATGTTGAGCTACCCCAGTTACTCGTATGCTTTCATGGTGTGTATCAGGCTCATCCTTCAACAATTATTTCAGATTTTTGAAATACATTTATTTTCTAAATCTCAACAAAATAAATTTTAATAAATAATAAATCACAACACAATAAATTTTTATAGATAATATACCTTAATACTCCTCCTCAAACTCAAAATGATATAGAATTTATAATAGCTTATATTGCTTGATTTGAAGAATAAATTTCAATATACCCTAACACAATCAAAGCATCATTTTTCGTGTCGCTCGTTACTAATATCATTTGGTTAGTTTTCAATTTCAAATCAAATAGTTGATTTTTTGTTCCATCCAAAATTATAGTGGGCACTAGGTAGAGCCCAAAATGCTATGAATTTTTTTAGGAAAAATTTCGGTGAGGGACCTTGACCCAAGTTATTAAAAAAAAAAAATCTTAGAATTTTCAAAATTTCAC